GATGTGACTTGATTCCCCTCTTGATCGCTTGCCGCTTCCTTGGCGCCCTGGCGGCTTCCCCTACACCTGGCAGGGAGCCATGCTGCCGAAAATAACGGCGCCCTAAACCCTAAACCCTATTATTATTATTATCTCTTGTTGCTGGAGGACATACCCTATTCGCATGGTTCTATTTTTTCTGCTCTGTGTGACGTCTCCTTCAATAGCTGCTGTGAAATGCCTTCCGCCTTGGTGATCGCTGCGCGGCTGGATCTGACCCCTTCGTTGGTTACACATCTCCTCATACGTTGGGAGGATGTTGTCATGAAGCTGAGCTCTGAGGTATGTTGGGAATGTGTGCTTGACGAGTATCCATAGCTCCTCTAACGTTTTCATCAGGCAACGATTCCCTGTTCCCCAAAAGTTTGCTGCGTATGCTATCTGAGCGCCTTTCGGGATCCGGCTGATAATTTCGAAGCCTTCTGGTATCTCATCAATGTTATTCTTCCATCCTATCAGAATGACATGTATTGTGTTTTGCAGGATGTGCTCGCGAAATCTCTTTTGTTTATCTATCCAAACCACCACTCGTTGCAGTTCCTTTGCTCTCTTGTTGCTCAGAGCCTGGGGATGCGTGTGTAGTGTCGGCCAGTTACGAAATGTACTGATGTCACAATCTGTGATCTCTGCTAGGTGTTGTAAAAACTCGTATGCCAATGGTTGTGTTGTTTCTTGGCGAACCTCTGATACTACCTCTTCGAGTTGTTGCCACCATGCTGTAGCTTCTGTTTCGCCGTCGTCCAACATATTGACTATTTCCAGCAACAGATGGATACTTTGATTGCATTCTCTTCGGTGATTCCCGTCTTCTTCTTCCTTTGTTGCAGATGTGAAGGGAGCCGAGTCCAGCGACGCTTCCACCCATTCTATTGGTGGGTCCGAGGTTGTGTTTACTCCTGTGTGGGGCGGCTCAAAGATAGCGATGTCTCCATGAACTTTGAAAGGTATGTGCCCTGAAGTGTAGCAGAATCTTTCTCGCTGATTCTTGTCATCCCCATAGTAAGTAGCGTCATGTTGGAGGAGCTCCCTCAAAATCTCCCGGGTATGAGCCCTCCTATTTGTTTCCTCTCTCCCTTGGTCCGGTCTGGCTAGTTTCGTGGGTGGCAGGAGCTCGTGTGGGCTAGCCTCCCTTTTTCCTTTCCTTCTCTTGTTTGAGGGCTTCCCTTCCTCTCTGGCTGGCCTTCTTCTCTTCCCTGTTCCTGCCTGCTCTTGACCGAGTTTTGCCCAGATGACGTTCACTTGCAGATATCGTGCAAGGATTTCTTCTGCCTGTTCCCGTTGCTTTGGGAATGGCCAGAGTCGAATGGGTAGGTGCAGGGAGATGCCTTCGGTATCTGGAACAGGTAAGATATTTGTTAGGTAGTGATAGCCTACTTGGGGTAATTTTCTCCATGCCTTAGCAAAGCTCTCCCAGCCTTGCCGAGCAGGAGATGTACGCAGGGATTGTTCTTCTGGGAGCAGGGAGTTTTCTTCTGAGAGCATCTTGTCTTCAATGTCGTGTAGCATAGCTATTGTCCCCGGTCTCATCTTGCTTTCAATCATTTCCCAGCTGATAGTTGTCTGCATTTTCTCCGCTACCCATATTGCGAGTCGTTCTGGGCCCCTTATCTCTTCGATCTCGTTGAGTCTGCCCGATCTGATTTCTCGTTGTACTTGGCTTATTGTTTGGCACCCCCATTGGTTGCACCATGATGTTAGTTTGTGGATCAGACTGCTTTTGATATCATCATCCACCCTGCATTTCTTATTCGTTTCTTTCTCTAGATACCGAATCGCCGCCCTTCCCAAGATGGGTGCTGGATGGGGGAGTTGGAGGCCTCCTCTGTCCCAAGGTAGGCGAAAAATCGCATTGCTTGTGCTCTTACTCAATCCCATAGCTCGTTTGAACGCTCTGGTCCAGAGGTTATCCAAGGTTTGTAAATCTTTCCACGTCCAGCTAACGAGTACCGCCGAGTATCGAAAGATATTCACGATACCTACTTTGACTAGGTAGTATTTCTGGGCTGCAGAGTAGGCCGATGATTCAATCAGGTTTGTCAGTTCCCTGGTCTTTTCGAAGATATGCTCCTTCTCTCCCCACGTGAAGGGGCAGGTGTGCACCCTGTTGCCTCTTCCTCCTGATCGCCACAAGCTGATTCGAATCCCTAGATATTTGAACCATTTCGTCGGTGGTAGGTTCACAAACTCCTTGTCGAAGAACTTGATGTTTTGCGTCCCCGGGATCTCCCTCTTGAGCCGATAATCAAAGCTGGTGATTTCAGATTTCTTCGTGTTCAGTTCTAATCCACTCCATCTACAAAATCGCTCTACCACTTGAACTAGTGTTTTCATTTCCCTCACTGAGTTGGCTATCAGTACAAGGTCATCTGCGAATGACAGGTTGTTGGGATGCTGAGTTTGTTGTTGATCGAGTTGTCTGGACAGGATGCTGAGCAGTAGATTTGTTTTGGGAGGACTTGCAGGACTGCCTTGAGGTAATCCCCTGAGAAGCGGGATGGCTGCCGTTTCGAACCTCTCTGTTTGAATCTGCAGTGCTATCCCTTTGCTGCCGCTGATTACCACGTCTACATCACGCTGATGGAAGCCATATACTTCCATGATTTTTGCGATGGATTCGACTGCCACGTTGTTAAAAAAGTTTGCAAAGTCAAGGTATAACAGGATGAGGGTGTGTTGATTGCTCTGAGCCTCCTCGATGATGTTGAGTAGACGATGGCCCTGCCTGATCGTCCCTCCCTCTGGTCTGAAACCTTCCTGGTTGTTCGTCAGCAGCTTATGTTTTTCAGCTGCTTTCGCGAGTCTGTGCGCTATGACCGCCTGGAAGATCCGCGTCACCGAGGAGAGGACGCATATAGGTCGTTGGTTCTCCAGGACATGACAGAGCTCATTTTTTGGTAAGAGCCTGACCCTTGCCAGCATATTCAACATCTTTTTGTCTCCTGTCAAAGCTTTGCTGATTACTTCCCCTATCTCCTCCTTTGCGCTATCAGGTAGAGCTTTCAGGATCTCATTTGAGATCAAATCCATGCCTGCTGCCTTGCGGTTGGATAATCTTTGGATCCAGACCTGAATCTCTCCTGGCTCCAGCGGGTATGCTATTTCTATCTCCCTGGTCTGATATTGATTGATTTGATCTGGGGGGTCGAAGTCCGGTGGTTTGATGGAAGTGAATAATTGACAGCTTTTGCAGAAGAAGAGGATCTTTGGTTCTTTGTTTTCCTGACGTCTGTCGTACAGCGGAATCATTCTTCCCTTTGTTTGACATTCAGCCCGTGCGCATGTTCCGTTCAATGTACAGCCGTTCACTGCAAAGAAGGTTGCCGTGTGGGTTTCATCTTCGAGGTCTCTTGCCAATCTCATGGGGATGAATTGCTCGATGTTTTTGTATCCTACTAAGCGCCACCCTCCTGGCTGCCCCCGGGTGATCAGTCCTCGGATGATGGGTACGATTGCGTGTGCAGGCGCCAGAGTTATGGACAGCTTTTGTGTTGCCTGGTTTCTCGCCCCGAGAGTCTCGACGTGTAGCATGGTTTGATGTCTTGCATTCCAAAAGGTTTTGCTTGATTCTTTGGAGCTGCTTTGTAAGAATGTTTCGATTAACGGGTTCAGTTCTTGAAGATATGCTGTCTCCGGCTGTTGCAGCGCTGGCTGGAGATCCCTCCATGACGTAAGTTCGATTGTATTTGGGTGGCACTTCTCTGACAGTTGACTCAGCATTGGGGCTTTGGGCTTAAAGTCTGACTTCTTGCCCATTGCATTTTGAGACTCTTTACTCCCTATCGTCCCCAAGCGTCTTCTTCGTTCGTCGCAAGTTTTCAGAAATATCTCTTGGTCCTGTGCTGCGCAGATCTCTTTGAATTTGGTCATCTTCTCTCTTATTTCTGCGTGTAAGCTTGACTCCTTGTGTGCCCGATCAATAAAGTCGGGAATTTCTGATGCGCTTCTCAGATCCCTTTGAAGTTGCTTGAGTTTCCGTTTCAGATCCATCTGAATCTTAGATGCATGTCGTTTACCGCCTGAGCCTCGTAGGGGGATTTCCTTGGTGGGGAGGGCTGTTGTTATCAGTTCGAGAATGTCCAAGTCTTGGTGTAGGGCTTTTGCCGCTGTTATCTTCTCATCCAGTGCTATTGCCCATTCTACACCTAATCTTCCTGATAACTTGTCCATCTCGACCACCCTTTTCTTTCGTCGAGGAATTGCTTCTCGATCTCTCCTTTGCGGGAGAATTTCAATCTTTGGGATGGCTTGCTCACCTCAGCATCGAGCGAGCTCACATTCACTACGAGTGCTCTGTGGTCGACGGCAGCTCCTATGATGCAGTCTTCTGCGGTCTGCGATATCAGGCTTACTGTGCGAGATGGATGATGGAAAGCAAAGACATGATCCAGTTTCGCTTGGTGGTGACCCTGCTTGTACCATGTGGAGAAGGTGAAGTGTGTGCTGCTTCTGCACATCTTCTCGCAGGTGACTGTCTGGAATCGCCCAAGCTCATTTAAGACTTGCTCCATTTTCTCATCTGCACGGTGTACACTCGAATTGCTTCCGTATCCTATTCTCATGGGGATCTCTGGATGTTGTCGAGATGCATTGAAGTCGCCTCCGATGATGATGAGCTTGATGTTTGGGTCTGGCTTGAGCATCTGGCTTAGCGCCTTCCACATGCTGTCTTGTTCCCCCTCCTCCGTCGCCACTGGCATATGAATGTTACACAAAAGTATGTTTTCTTTTTTTCGTGAGATCTGTAAAACTTGTATTTTTTGTCTGTGTGCCCCCTCCAATGCTGTACCATTTGGCGAGGAGGGGGGGCGCGGGAGAAGGTCAGCATGCGCCAGTATCACAAGGCGTAGATCACTCTTACCCTTTCTCCCTAACCCTGTACCATTGGTCATAAACATTCGGTAACATCCCCATTCTTTCTTGATCATCATTCGGAGATCTGTTTCCTTTTTCTTACCACGCCCCACCCTGACTTCCTGCAACATGACAATAGATGGATGATACTTCTCAATCAAATATGCCAGGATGTGTTTCAGCACGAATTGACTGCATCCATTGACATTTTGAGAGATGATGTTGCCTGGAGCGTTGTCCTTCTTGTGGGTTTCCACCCATGTTGAGTGCACTGACCTATCGGTGGTAGCCTCGTGTGCGTTGCTGCTTGCTGTTAGGATTTGCTCCTCCGCCTCCGATGCCCATTGAAGGTGAGACGCGTGCCTCTCTTGCATCTTCGTTGGGGCTGATGGCTCCTCCTCCCCCCTAGTCTCCTTGTCGTGCTTCGAGTTTGTCTCTGCGTGCATGTCTGGTGGGGGGGAAGGTGGCTGGAGTGGAGAGACGGGGCATGGGGCGGGAGGTGGTGGAGGGGGGTATGGCAGGATGTCCCCCTGTGCTGACCTGTCTGGTATGTACACTACCACCGGTATCCTATGAGAACAGCATACGCATTCCTCTTTTGCGTCATCTGAAGCTCGCCTGCGCGTTTTTGGCCATTCTCTCGCCTTTCCATCTGGTTAGGTCTACGTTCCATGGTGAGCTTTGCTGCTTGCCATTCCTTGTAGCCTGTTTCTTGCGCGTGTTGTAACGCTCTGCAGATGCATTGGATCGTTTCTCGCATGTGAACTTGTTCTAGACCCCCTCCCCAGAGCCCATCCAGCAGCAGGTGCCTTGTTCTCACGAGCCATTGTTGGTGTGGCGGGACGCCTTGTTGCCTACCTATGTTGAAGATATCGTGTTGTTGCGTCTGCTTTCGTGTCTTTGCGATCAGTAGCAGATGCAGTAGTACAAAAATTCCGCAGTTGTAGCCGTCCGTTTGTTGCAGTCCCGTTGACACACATGCCCTCCATGCCTTGTCGTCTTGTTCTTGTTGGTCGCTAATTGCCTCGGTGATGATCGTCGCCACGAGTGATGCTAGGTCCATTCGCTGTGCGCCCCCCAATTGAAACTGTGCATCCCTTTGACTTCTGACTGTCCCCAGGTCTCTCTCCCCGGCCGTGTTGAGCGAGTCGACGATGTGTATTCTTTTTGTGTTGACATCTGCCACGATTAGGATCCAATGATTGCCGTTTTCTACGCATGGGAATAATAATGGTTGATCTGCTCCGGCTAACAGTCGCTTTGCTCTCCTTGCCCTTCCCTCCTGATCTCTCAAACCCGCTACTATTCTCGGGAGAACAATGGTCCCTCTCTGCAGCCCAAATTGGTTTCTAGTTTGCTCGCTGGCATACCTCGTGCCTTGGAGCCATGCTATTTGAAATCTGTCTTCCGCTGGTTCTAAATTTCGGTTTACCTCAACGATTAATGCCTCCATAACGTCCTCAGAGAGAAATCCATCTTCTCCTGAGTTGAGCAGCGCCGCTGCTCCGTACTCTCTATTGTTTTCCCGTAGACTCCAGGGGATCTCCCCTATCAAGTCGAATGTTTGTATTTTTCTGTTTTTTGGATTTTCTTTGTCATTCTTTTTCTCACCTTCTTGTCTCTTTCTGCTTGATTCCACCACGCCCTGGTGCCCACTGTCCCACCTGCCCTCTCCTCCTCCTCCTGCTTCCATTAGGCGTCAAGCGGCGCGGTTGGGGAGGAGTCAAGCGACATCTCTTCCACTTCTACCGCTCTGCTCCCTGCTTCGGGTGCATCTTCCACTCGCGCGTCTTCCATCTGTATCTCACTGCTCAAAACAAGTTTCAATTCGTTTCTGTCTCCCAGCATTCCTACGAGGGAGAGCGCCGTTTCCTCCAGGAATTTATTCAAAGCAATGAAGAGAAGGTCAGTTTTCAAGGGCTTCTCCTCATTTGGTGCGAAAGCGCTGCTCTTGCGTTTCGCTACCTTCCACGTATGCTTGCCTGCAATCACCCTGACTCGTTCACGCAGTCGCTTGCTCACGGCATTCTCTGCCGCGTTGGCACCCTTATCAGCCCACTCTTGTAGCGTGGGGAAGGATGCATTTCCTGGGCTCTCCGGAGCCATCTCTTGCACCGCGTCATCAAGATGGAGTTGAAGCTGCCCTTGCTGTTGCAGCTCGCTCCTAGTTAGGTCAGCAATAGTTTCCTTAAGTTCTTCGACGACCACGTCCGTTCCCGCATCTGGGAGGTTGGTTTCATTGATAATGGAACTGAGCTCGATCTCTTTCCACACAGTTCCCTCTGCTCTGGTCCCCGTCGTTTGTGACCTGGCCTCAGGGTTAGACTGATCGCGAGTTGCCTGAGGCGACACTTTGAGGTTCAGACTGCTCGCTGTCGTTTGGATTTCAACTGTGCCTTGCCAGCAGAGGAGCTGTGTGGGGAATTCAGCCATCATCTTTCTTGCACTACTTTCACTGCGTAGCCGGAGAATGATACCAGACCCATCCCAGATCCCTGTTTCTGGATCGCATTGGAGGTGGATCCGTTGGAGATCTCTTTCCACCTGTGGATCAAAGCAAGCGACAGCCCTCCGAATGTTTCGGATGACTTTTGCTCTGCCCGTTTCGTCACTTGCACAGATTTTTTCGATCTCATTTCGGGAGAACTTCCCTGACGGCACAGGAGAGGAGATTTGTACCGAGTACAGCATCTCTGCTCCCGTTGCCATTGCCGTGCCCTCTTGTCGCACCGCATTCTTCATATTCTTGTGCAGCGCCGTTGCTTCCATCTGCACTGAGAACCATTTCAGTATTTTGTCATTCTCTGAGACCAGTCCCAAAGTGACTCCTGCACGATCCTTTCCATGTCGATCGAATGCTTGAAGAACGATGTCCGCTGCTTCAAGGCTCGAGCACGTTGCGATCCAGTCGACCTCTCTGTTCTGGTTGACTGTTTCTATTCCTACCGCAGCGAACACCTTCTTTGGCGGTAGGTTCCTCTTGGGGGGGAGGTTCACTGTCATTCCCGCGTTTGGGATCAGATCAATGATCGCTAATCCCTGCTTCAGGCATAGCTGCCTGTAGATCTCACATATGTCACCTGTGCTCGAATCGTTGAGCCTCAGGAGTTGGGCCACCTCAGCTAGGATTCCAACTCTGCCCATGTTCTCCTTCTTTGGCCGCATCTTGAACGAGATCGGTGGGTTGGCTGCTGGGTTCACTGCTAGAATCCTCCTGCCTGCCACCTTGAAGGTACCCTCTCCTTTCCAGAGTTTCTCAGCCGCCTCATTGCGGACAAATGTGATCACTGCTGGGATCTCCGCTGCCTGCACAAGGTCAGGCTTCAAGGGAGCCTTGAAGATCAGGCTCCTGCTGTCTTGCGTCTGATCGACGATCAAGCCTTGCTCTTCAAGCTTGAGGCATAAGTTTTCCACCTGTCTGGAAAAGTATGCAGGGATCCCAAGTACCTTCATGGTAATCGTCTGCACATTGGTGCCCTGATCATCATATGATCTGGCCTCCATCTGCCTTTGTCTGTCAGCTTGGAACTCTGACAGGTACCACTGCTTGACATCGTCACCCCACTGCCTGAGCCCTTTCGGATTCTCCAGTGACGAGGGTTCAGCAAAGCTGCATGTCTGACTGATGGCTTCGGCTAAGGCTTCCAAGGATATTTCTTTTGCTTTCAGAGCTTTGCTCGTCCTGCTTTTGGGGTTCTGCCTTGCGAATTCATCCAGTCTCCGCATCAGTTCGGCTGATGACGGCATCGTTGCAGCTTCCGTCTGCCTCTTGAGGTAGCTGGAGGTACGGTACTGCACGATCTCGTCAGGGTTCACAATAGATATTGGCCACATGTTTCGAAGCATTCTCGATGGTTTCCCGAGCTTCCTGCGTTCCTGGCGACTCTTGCTCTACCACGCAGGGATCCCGCTGATCTGCATGCCTCAGATAAAGGGATCCTCCTAAACCCTAAATCCTGCCTCAGATAAAGGGATCCTGCCTCAGATAAAGGGATCCTGCCTCAGATAAAGGGATCCTGCCTCAGATAAAGGTAATTCCAACATGGCTCGCTTGACTCGCGTGGTCGATGTGTTACCTCCTCCGCACAGTGCTTCCATCTCCTTCCTCGAGAAGCGGCCTGTGCTCATGCTTGACTTCGACTTGATCTGCACCCTGAAACTGCCGCTTGGAGCCTGCTCCCTGTCGCGAAGTACCATCCTCTGCTTGGCAATCTTTCCTCTCGGCACGAAGGTGTCTGCTGTGAGCTCGACTGCAAACGTCTCTCTGAGCTTGGCGTCGTCGCTGACGAGAGTCAGGTGCACCCCCTCCATCGCCTCGCTCTCTCTGAACGAGGCCAAGGTCTGCTCGCAGCTGGCCGTCGATGGGCAGGATAGTACCCACTCGAGCTCTCTCTGCTGCAGAGCTCCGGTGCTTGCTCCAACAGCAACATACGTCTTCGGGCTCGGCCCCTTGCGACCTCTCTGCCCAGCACCCTGCACGAGCATGCCCGCCAGCGGTTGTACCTCTGCTGCGGCGAGACATTGCGAGATCAGTTGGAATTGATAGATCCGAGCTATGTCCGCCGTCGACATTCCTCCAAGAGCTAGGAGCTGCGATAGCTCGGCAAGGCTCCCTCCCTTGCCCCAAGGTCCTCGCTTGGCTCGGAGCTTGAACGACCGGTCGTGTGCAATGCTGACTTCAGTTGCTCTGAAAATTCGCCCGTCGATGCTGTACTCTCTGCTGCCTTGCCAGAGTGCGATGGCTTCTTCATTCCGAAGGAAGGAGATGGTGACTGAGATGTCGTCTGCTCGTGCTATCTCAGGTCTGTAAGGTGCTTTCCACATGATGGACTTGTCGTCTCTATCGACTGAGTCTACTATGAGTCCCAGCTCCGTCAACTTCATTTTCAATTTGTCTTCTTGTCGCACATACATCGAGGAGATGCCCAGGAGAGTCATGGAGATGAAGGAGGTCTCCTCGGTGTCTTCGGTGCCGATGTAAGTCTCGACATTCTGCTGTTTGGCCTCTTTCATCTGTTGCATGAACCATGCTTTCGACTCTGGGCTCCATGCGCTCAGAGAGTCTTCAAACAGGTCGCGTCTCGCCTGCCGACATGTCGAGCGGATGGCTTCTGCGATAGCGTCGGGAGTGCATCCCCCCTCAGCTCTGCAAGCATGAGCTGTCCGACTATTCGGATAACGCTTGGTGAAGCTCTTCACTCTCTCGACGAGGTCGGCCTCCTCGACGTGGCCTCCAGAGCGCTCACCCTGCGTGTATTGGCATGATCTCCGATACAGCAGGTTGCGAACGCTCTCATCATACTGTAGTACCATGCTTAGAAAGCTGTTTGAACTATACGAACCTCTTGCTCGCAGCTTCCTCCGGTGCCCTTGCGCTCTCCCTACGCGCCACAGAGCAGCATGCCTCTGTCAACGGGCCCGGTGCCTCTGTCAACGGGCCCGGTGCCTCTGTCAACGGGCCCGGTGCCTCTGTCAACGGGCCCGGTGCCTCTGTCAACGGGCCCGGTGCCTCTGTCAACGGGCCCGGTGCCTCTGTCAACGGGCCCGGTCTGCCTCTGTCAACGGGCCCGGTGCCTCTGTCAACGGGCCCGGTGCCTCTGTCAACGGGCCCGGTGCCTCTGTCAACGGGCCCGGTGCCTCTGTCAACGGGCCCGGTGCCTCTGTCAACGGGCCCGGTGCCTCTGTCAACGGGCCCGGTGCCTCTGTCAACGGGCCCGGTCCTGCCTCTGTCAACGGGCCCGGTGCCTCTGTCAACGGGCCCGGTGCTATTTGAAGTATACAAACCTCTCGCTTGCAGCTTCCTTGGCGCCCTGGCAGCTTCCCCTACACCACGCGTGCAGCCATGGTGCCTGAAATAACCGGCCCTAAACCCTAAACCCTAAACCCTAAACCCTAAACCCTAAACCCTAAACCCTAAACCCTATTATTATTATTATGTGAGTTTATTAGAATGCTAGAATGTTGCTCGGCCTCGTTGTGGGCTTGTGCAATTGGATCCTAGTCTAAAGAGGCGCTCGAGCACTGGGAGTACACGGCCTACAATGCGAACCCTGCTTCTGAGGCGTCTTTCTACTCTCTACTTCTGCTGTCTTCTCTTGGCTTCCTCAGCCTCAGTCAGGAGAGTTGCCTCTCCTCACCTTGGCCTTCGGTCACCACCTACTCTACCTCCATTCAGCTTCCTCAGCCTCAGTCAGGAGAGTTGCCTCTCCTCACCTTGGCCTTCGGTCGCCACCTACTCGTCCTCCATTCAGCTTCCTCAGCTTCAGTCAGGAGAGTTGCCTCTCCTCACCTTGGCCTTCGGTCGCCTCCTACCTTCTCTCCTTACCTTGGGCTCAGCTCAAGCTCGGTACGGGCTCGCCCCATCTTCTTCCTCGCCCTCGCCTTGCTCTTCCTCCATGTCTTCCTCTTCTTCGCCATCTTCCCTCATCTCCACTCGCAGTCGGTCCTTCTTGTCCACCTTCAGCGAGCAGGCCAGCACATGCATCTCTGCGAATTTACTCAGTGCTATGAACAGGAGGCTAAGAGATCGACGCTCTATGTCGTCGCTCTCCGCCTCCTGCTCAAGCTCAGCAGCTGCCGTTGCCCGTGGCGAGAACGCGCTGCCCCTCCTTGCCTTCTTGCTCTCTCCTTGCACGCGAGTCCAGCGCTTGCTCTGCAGCCACTTCCCCAGCTTCTCCTTGAGCGCGTTGCGTCCCACTCCCTGCTCCTCTGGCATCTTCGCCCACTCTCCCAGCGACATGAACTCCAGGCTCCCCGGAGAGTAGAACGTGTCGTGGAGGTTGCCAACGGCCTTGTCCAGGACCAGCTTGATCGGCTCGCTCGTCCCCGCCTCGTTCAAAGAAGCTGCATCTTCGATGACTGCTGACAGCTCGCTGACGAGCTGCATGTCCTCTTGGCTTGACGGAGATGCTGCCTCCATTGTGATCCTCTCCAGGTCTGTAAACTCCAGCCACTCTCCCTCGCTCTCCTCCTGTCGCTGCGCTGCGTCGCTGGTGCCCCGCTGACCAGCCGCCTCAGAGTCAGGCTCCTTGTCGAAGCCGACTGCTTCGAGCTTGGTTGCTGCGCCTTCGAGATAGAAGGGCAGCTCCTTCATCATGCGTCGAGCATCCTCCGTGGAGCCGAGGAGGATGCATAGCTTGGACCCGTTCCAGGACTTGGTGTTCAAATCCTCCTCCATGTCGATGCCTTCAACGTTGATCTCGAGCCTGTTAGCGATCTCCAACAAGACTCTCTTGACTCTTGCGATAGACGTGTTGCCGCCGTTGCACAGCCCCTCCATCTCCTTCCTCGTGAAGCGACCAGATGCCGCCGTCGACTTGATGATGATCTTGATCTCCTTGCCGTCCTTGCCGCCTGCCTTCTTCTGCATCCTTGATGCCTTCTTCAACTTATTTCTGGACACAAAGCGATCAGCTGTCAACTCGACTGCGAGCGCCTCTCTGATCTTCGGGTCCTCGCTGAACAGAGTCAGGTGTACTCCCTCCATCGCTTCGCTCTCTCGGAAAGCTCGAAATGCTGTATCGTTCGCCTCTGGGCAGCTCGAGGAGACGATCCACTCCACCTCCCTCTGTCTCCAGATGACGTTGGCCCCTACAGCGACGAAGCCTTTCTGACCTAAGCCTTTGTGGACTTGCTGGCCTGGCGCCCCAGCGACCAGCATGCCTGCCAGCGGCTGGAGTTGGACCGCTGCAAGGGACTGGCGCAGCAGCTGATAGCGATAGACGGCAGCTATCTCAGCCGTTGTCATGCCGCCCAAGGTTAGCAGGTGAGTCAGCTCTGCCAAGCTGCCCCCTTTGCCCCAGGGTCCTCTCTTGGCTCGAATCTTGAAAGATCTATCGTGCACGATGCTCACATGTACAGCTGTGAACTTGCGACCATCGATCGCGAAGTCCTCTCTTCCCTGCCAGAGCTTCTCCGCTTGTGCATTGCGGAGGAAGGAAACAGTCACCGGGATCTCCTCAGCACTCGCTATCTCGGGTCTATACGGAGCCTTCCACATGATTGCTTTACTCTCTTGCACTGAGTCTACGATCAGTCCGATCTCTTCAAATTTCTTCTTCAGCTTTTCTTCATGGTTGACATACACCGAGGAGATGCCCAGGAGAGTCATGGAGATGAAGGAAGTCACCTCGTTGCCTGCTGAGGCGGTGTATGTCTCGACCTTCTCCTTCTTGGCTTCTTCAATCTGCTGCATAAACCACTCTCTGGATGCGTCACTCCATCCAGTCATCGCTTCTTGCAGAAGCTCACGTCGTGCCTGCTGACATGTCGAGCGGATGGCTTCTGCGATAGCGTCGGGGGTGCATCCCTCCACAGCCTTGCAAGCCTGGGCTGTCCTGCTGTTCGGATAACGCTTCGCGAAGCTCTTCACCCTCTCGACGAGATCAGCTTCGAGGACAGAGGCATCCACAAGTCCGCTCTGCGTGTATTGGCATGATCTCCGATACAGCAGGTTGCGAACATTTTCATCATACTGAAGAACCATACTTAGAAAGCTATTTGAAGTATACAAACCTCTCGCTTGCAGCTTCCTTGGCGCCCTGGCAGCTTCCCCTACACCACGCGTGCAGCCATGGTGCCTGAAATAACCGGCGCTGCCTGAAATAACCGGCGCTGCCTGAAATAACCGGCGCTGCCTGAAATAACCGGCGCTGCCTGAAATAACCGGCACCCTAAACCCTAAACCCTAAACCCTATTATCCTAAACCCTAAACCCTAAACCCTATTATTATTATTATTATGTGAGTTTATTAGAATGCTAGAATGTTGCTCGGCCTCGTTGTGGGCTTGTGCAATTGGATCCTAGTCTAAAGAGGCGCTCGAGCACTGGGAGTACACGGCCTACAATGCGAACCCTGCTTCTGAGGCGTCTTTCTACTCTCTACTTCTGCTGTCTTCTCTTGGCTTCCTCAGCCTCAGTCAGGAGAGTTGCCTCTCCTCACCTTGGCCTTCGGTCACCACCTACTCTACCTCCATTCAGCTTCCTCAGCCTCAGTCAGGAGAGTTGCCTCTCCTCACCTTGGCCTTCGGTCGCCACCTACTCGTCCTCCATTCAGCTTCCTCAGCTTCAGTCAGGAGAGTTGCCTCTCCTCACCTTGGCCTTCGGTCGCCTCCTACCTTCTCTCCTTACCTTGGGCTCAGCTCAAGCTCGGTACGGGCTCGCCCCGTCTTCTTCCTCGCCCTCGCCTTGCTCTTCCTCCATGTCTTCCTCTTCTTCGCCATCTTCCCTCATCTCCACTCGCAGTCGGTCCTTCTTGTCCACCTTCAGCGAGCAGGCCAGCACATGCATCTCTGCGAATTTACTCAGTGCTATGAACAGGAGGCTAAGAGATCGACGCTCTATGTCGTCGCTCTCCGCCTCCTGCTCAAGCTCAGCAGCTGCCGTTGCCCGTGGCGAGAACGCGCTGCCCCTCCTTGCCTTCTTGCTCTCTCCTTGCACGCGAGTCCAGCGCTTGCTCTGCAGCCACTTCCCCAGCTTCTCCTTGAGCGGGTTGCGCCCAACTCCCTGCTCCTCTGGCATCTTCGCCCACTCTCCCAGCGACATGAACTCCAGGCTCCCCGGAGAGTAGAACGTGTCGTGGAGGTTGCCAACGGCCTTGTCCAGGACCAGCTTGATCGGCTCGCTCGTCCCTGCCTCGTTCAAAGAAGTTGCATCTTCGATGACTGCTGACAGCTCGCTGACGAGCTGCATGTCCTCTTGGCTTGACGGAGATGCTGCCTCCATTGTGATCCTCTCCAGGTCTGTAAACTCCAGCCACTCTCCCTCGCTCTCCTCCTGTCGCTGCGCTGCGTCGCTGGTGCCCCGCTGACCAGCCGCCTCAGAGTCAGGCTCCTTGTCGAAGCCGACTGCTTCGAGCTTGGTTGCTGCGCCTTCGAGATAGAAGGGCAGCTCCTTCATCATGCGTCGAGCATCCTCCGTGGAGCCGAGGAGGATGCATAGCTTGGACCCGTTCCAGGACTTGGTGTTCAAATCCTCCTCCATGTCGATGCCTTCAACGTTGATCTCGAGCCTGTTAGCGATCTCCAACAAGACTCTCTTGACTCTTGCGATAGACGTGTTGCCGCCGTTGCACAGCCCCTCCATCTTCTTCCTCGTGAAGCGACCAGATGCCGCCGTCGACTTGATGATGATCTTGATCTCCTTGCCGTCCTTGCCGCCTGCCTTCTTCTGCATCCTTGATGCCTTCTTCAACTTATTTCTGGACACAAAGCGATCAGCTGTCAACTCGACTGCGAGCGCCTCTCTGATCTTCGGGTCCTCGCTGAACAGAGTCAGGTGTACTCCCTCCATCGCTTCGCTCTCTCGGAAAGCTCGAAATGCTGTATCGTTCGCCTCTGGGCAGCTCGAGGAGACGATCCACTCCACCTCCCTCTGTCTCCAGATGACGTTGGCCCCTACAGCGATGAAGCCTTTCTGACCTAAGCCTTTGTGGACTTGCTGTCCTGGCGCCCCAGCGACCAGCATGCCTGCCAGCGGCTGGAGTTGGACCGCTGCAAGGGACTGGCGCAGCAGCTGATAGCGATAGACGGCAGCTATCTCAGCCGTTGTCATGCCGCCCAAGGTTAGCAGGTGAGTCAGCTCTGCCAAGCTGCCCCCTTTGCCCCAGGGTCCTCTCTTGGCTCGAATCTTGAAAGATCTATCGTGCACGATGCTCACATGTACAGCTGTGAACTTGCGACCATCGATCGCGAAGTCCTCTCTTCCCTGCCAGAGCTTCTCCGCTTGTGCATTGCGGAGGAAGGAAACAGTCACCGGGATCT